ACGATACCGAAGAAAATGGTGAAAAGTTAAGCCACCCCCTAATGACTGTGCCACAAATTTACAAAATTTTATTGGACCGAGCGGTTCTGAGTCAAAATTACCGAATTGGTCGCTTGTACGACCAAATGATTGTCTGCTATGCTGCTATTATCAAACATGAAAAGTGTGACTTTTCCGGGATGTGTTCGTTCAAAAATTGGGATAGCTCTTTCAGTTACTTGTTTTATGATGTCCTGATTTGTCCACCAACCATCACGATTTGTACCAGGATGAATAATAACACAAGCTTCTGTGTGTAAAAGACGTTCATTGTCAGGAAGTAGGTCATTTGCTGCTTGTTCTTCTGGCGAAAAGCAGAGACGTCCTATTGATTCGCAAATGAAATCGCTTACATGAACACTAAGACCCTGTGATTTTCGCCGAATTTGATTTTCACCAGCAGGATCCCAAGTAGTAACAATACCGTCATTAGCATAGAAAACAGACTCATCGTGAGTCACTGGAACAATTTCAGGAACGTTTGGTGAAAGTATTGGTGGGATAATTTGATCCATGTTCTCGCCCGCATAGACTGAGAACCGAGATCGTAGACTAGCCATTTGTTCTAAAAAGTGTTTCCGATAGGCCACCACATCATCTCGCTCATGTCCATCAAAAAAGATACTTTTTGAGTGGTCTTTGTAATCCCAGCCGAGATAACGCAGCCATGTCCGAGCCGTTTCCCTACAAATAGTTTTTTTCCCTTCGATCCCAAAAGCTGGAATAGCTTCTTCCTCCACAAACTTTGTGAATTGATGGATGGTTATTTTAAACTTATTAGCCCGTAAATACTCCGTAATATTCAACTTGAGGTCTTCATGTAGCAAGAGTGACCGAATTTTTGCATGATTGCCACGACGTGATATAGAAAGTTGGCCATTGTGTAACCATTAATTTGCCCACGAACGGATAACACGCGCATGCCACGGACTCTTATTAACACTTAAAGCAAGAAGCTCACTAGCTTTCAGTTTGGAAAATCCTCGATCTTTAACCAAGTGAAGAAATTGGCTCACCACATAAAGTCGTGTATCATCCGGCTTTCTCTTTAACAGCGTGTCAAGCGATTCCAAAGTAAACTCACTATTGTTGTTTTCGAAGTTAACTACCTCGTCGTAAGAGAGCTCATCATTGGTATCATTGCGGATTGTTGAAATTTGAGTTGCCGGCGTTGCTGGGAACCAATTTGTAATTTTGCTGGTATCTGATGCTGCCTTTTTTCAAGCTGCTCTCTTGTTCCGCAAGATTGATTCAGCAAAGCCAGTATAGGTAGGTTTTCGTCCTTTTGTATCTGGTTGTTTTGCTTTAAGGAGTTTTTCAAACCAATCTGGCTTTAATTGTTCAAATTCTTCTACAAATTGGTTATCGTCCAAAGATTCATTTTCGCCGCTGGTCCATAAAGCATCGAAGTCATTTTCACCGCTGGCCCATAAAGCATCGAAGTCATTTTCGCTGCTGGCCCATAAAGCATCGGAGGGTCTTTCGTTACATTTAATATCATCCCAACGCTTCTTAACAGCTGAGATACAATGCCAAGCACGTTTACTTCTTTTTGGCATTAATATCGATTATTTGCAATGAAAAAAGGTTTTAACAAAAGCATACAGAGTTTGAATCACCCACCACTAGTAATGCCCAATGAACAAGCGGACCATGGCACATAAATATGACACAGAGAAGAAAAAATGCAAGGCTAAAAGTTATGCACAAAAGCAAAGAACAGGGAGACGCAATATGCATGCTTTCACATGATAATAATGGGAGACACATATATTGTAAAATGTTTAATAAATCAATTTATTTTTAGAATTTACATGACTATATATTGTATGCAATGCTATTGGTGGCATTGTATTGTATGCTATATTACATTGCATACTGAAATTTCAGCGGTGGCGCAGCATTTGATGTGACTAAGCTGGGCGCACCATATTATATTTTTTTCTTATTTTATACTATTTTATTCTTTTTTTAATTTTTTTTTAACTATAATAATTTTAATAAAAATTAATATAGAACTTAAATACTTTTTTTAATATTATATTTTGTTTTTTTTTGTTTAATTTTCTTTTTTAATTCTTGTTCAAGTTTATAAATTAATTTATTAATTAATAAACAAACTTGTAACAATATAATTTTTAAAGAATAATAAAATATAATTTCACATTAAATAGAAGATCTTGAAGGAACAACTTATCTGGAAGAAGAACGTGATAATATTTATAAATGTGTTGATTTTACTCATAATACTATATGTCGGAGAGACTATTAAACTTAACAATTTTGAATAAATATTCATATTTTATTTCAAAAGATATTGCTTTTTTAAGATTTTTTGAAAATTAACAAAGAATTTATATAAACTTGCTATAATTTATTATATGATATTGTACTAAATAAGCTGAAAAAATATGATTATTTTTATTTATATTATATCAAAGAATATAATATAATTTAACAAAGAAAATCATTTTTTGTTAAATAAATATATTTTAAAAAACTTTAAAAAAATAAATAAAGAATTTTAAAGTCAAATTTATATTTTTGGTAAACTTTGAAGAAAGATAAATGTAATATGCATATTATTATTCATAATTTATTTATTTAATTTATTCAAAGTCACATATATAGTGACTCTCAAAATTATAGAATTATATATATAATATTATTAATAAAATTGTACACATGATTCCATAATTTTGAGAGCCATTATATATCTTGCTCTTGTAAGTGCTCTATTCTAATTAACATGATAAACTTCACATTTGGATCACTATTGAAATTATTGTATAAATAATAAATTTAAAAAACCAAGTTGAGTTTTGAATTATTTTAAATATATCAATACAATATAAATCTTGTAAGTCTTATTGATCAATTTTTTAATTCCAAACGACTTTTTTAAATATAATAACTCTAAACAATTCAAACTACTAGTAATACTTTTGATCTAAACAATTATTGTATTCACTAAATAATAGACTTCTAGAAATAAACAGATAAATACAATCAATCAAGAATATTAATTAGTTTCGAAATATTAATAAAACCAAATAATTATTGTTTATATCAAGTGATAACCTGATAATATAATAGAAGGAAAAAGAATTAACGATTATAGTCAGAATAATATTTAGCACTACGACTACTGGAACTTCGATCATGACTGTCACTCTGGTGCCTTCTCGATCGACTTGATGATTCTGATTTGTCGATTTTTGATGCACTTTTCGACGACGATTTTTTACCCCGATAATCAGAATAACTTTTGGTACTAATACTGCGGTGACTGCCAGAACTTGTTCGATCACGACTGCTACTTCTACGTCGCCTAGATCGATTTGATTTTTCGCCTGTTGAACTTTTAGATTTTTGGTCGGGATCACTGGAGCTTCGTGTGTTTGTTTGTTCAACTTCTAGTTTTTGATTCATTTCGCCATTTGTATATTTTGATCTTTATTTATGAAGTAAAAAACTTTTAGAAACTTGTCAAACCAAAAAAGGCATTATTTTCTTTAACTAATAGCTCTTGGTAAGCACACATGAAATAATTATAATATAGAATTATGGACATTTAAAAACGACTTTAAGACCTAAATTGCTAACCTTCGTTCCTGAGTTTTAGATGTAGGAAGTACTGATGCGCCAAGACCCAATAATGCAGGTCGATGCTGTGGCTCGTATAATTTTACAGCCCTTTAAAATTTCAAATGTTGATAAGTTTATATTCGATTCTAAATAATATAAATAGCTATTATCAGGGACAAACATACTTGTTGGACTGATTTTTTCCTATACTCATTCCTGGTTTCCAACCCATGCCTCGCAGTAACGCAGCACCAAATTCCTGAATGGGGACTCGTCCATAATCAATCTTTTTCTGAAAAATTTGATAAATCACTATTATTATAATTATTAAAGCAGTGTTGGGAATTTGGACAATTGAAAATTTGTCCAAAACTATGACATTTACAATTAACTTTATAAAACATATATATTCTATGTATTTACTTAAATATGCAAGACTTGTTTTTGTTTATAAAAAGTTTTGGATGATAGTTTTGGACGTCCAATTCCCAACACTGTATTAAAGGATAAAATTGATAAATAATAACATTGTAATGAGATCTTACTTCATCAGGATGATTTTCAATCAATTGTCGAAATGATTCAGCATCATCAGCTTTGACTTTTGTTTCTTGCGTATAGCTGTTTTCCTTTTGTGGTAATACTAAAAGATTCTGACTGTTTTCTGTCAAATCTTCAGGATCTGAAGCTAATAAAGAAAAAATAAATGTTAATGCATTAAATTCTTAGAACGCATTTTTTTACTAATGCTTTAAAAAAATGGTGCCAACTTACCCTTCATCAATTCATTTAATGCTAACTGTCTTAACTTTTGATCTTCATCTTGTGGTGGTTTGATTTCATCATGAATATCTTTCTTTTCCAAATCACGCACGTCCTCATCTTCTTTCTTCCCATTAGTTACGGATAAACCATAAGAAACGGGAACAGAAGTAGATTGAGTAGATTCAGGTTGATTTATTTCATTTTGTTTTTCTTGATTAGATTTATTTTGCCGCTGCGCAGCGAGAATCCGAATTCGCTCGTGCCAGTCCGGTATAGACAGCGGCGGAATAACTAATGTGCTTGTTTCCTGACTGGAATATATATATGGAGAGAAGAAGGTCGGAAACACAGTACCGGTTAGCGAACGAACGCTAATAATGTCGTGGGCAGTGGTAGGAGCATACTTCACAGCTGCAACACACACATGTCGTTTGGACTTTAACAAAGATTCGATAGGAGAGACAATAGAAAAAAAAAAGGTCAAAATAAACTAGCATTATTTACCTTTGTGAGTTATTACTCTCAAAACTTGTTACATAGTTTACTGTTTGTTCTTGGTGGTCAAACTCTTCGTCCCTGTTATCAACGTTTACACGGCGTTTCTTTGTTTTCTCAGAAACAAAAGCGCTACTTTTCTCTAGTCTCTTGACTCCTGCACTCTGAATTGACATTGAGAAACCAGTTTTTATACGGATTTCTGTCGATTCAGAGGAGGAACCGATTGAGGAATTCGTTTGATCCATATTTGTGAGTTTGCAAAAGGTAAAATAGATTTTGATAGAAAAAGCGTATTAATAAAATTATATTATTTATTCTATTTATTCGATAGAATGATCTCTTGGCGCGGATATACTGTAATTCGGAGTTGATCTATTGATTAGCAATTATTTTTTCCTAATTCTTGCAACAAAAAATCCCGAAGTATTTGAAATTAAAGGATCGAAACGAATAGCATTTGAAATATCAATATTGTTATTGTTTCTCAATGACGCCGTTTTCAATGTTCCGATATCAGGTATAGGCTCTAGTATAGCATCATTCATATGTCCACTTAGAAACCATCCAATCACATCCTCGTTTTGTTTCCGTGATAAGCTACACGTGCTATAAACAAGGATTCCGCCCGGTCTTAGTAGGTTCCATGCGTTTATAATTAATTTGCGCTATCGTAACATTTTTTTTAAAGCAATTAAGAGAGTCAATATAATGGGAAAGAAGTACATTGTGCGGTTAAATTTATTATTAATGCGAAGATAAAATGCCATTTCTCACTTGTAGATCCCAGAGATTATTGACTCTGTCAGGATTCATAAAGTTTTTTTCGAAAGCGTCCCATCCCCACTTTTCATACTGATTGATTTGAACCGGAGGGAAATTCATGAATGTAAGGAATAAACGAAAGTTCAATAAAACAAGAAAGAAGGGATTTTCATTCGTACTTTAAGTATATGGGCAATCGATCCATCATGAGTGCATTCCGCGTCAACAATAACCTTAACGGGTGGCCAGATTAATTAATGTTCTAATTAATTTTTTTCAACAAATCATGTTTACCTTATCATACAAATATTTTTCATCGACAATCTGTGGATCACTTCGAAGTATTTGCGGCGCCCAAAAAGGTTTAACTATGGGATTACGCTCAACATCATTTTTTCTATGTTTATAATCCTTAGTCTGCTCCTCCTTATTACCACTATTTTTTCTGTCGTTTGCTTCTACCAGACGTTTCAAAGGCTCTAGATACGAAGGTGCCATTACAGAAAACTGTGTACCATCTGCGACAAAGATCCTCGCGCGATTCACTTTATACTTCTTTAGCAAGTTTTTACAAGTCGAAGCGCGATGGTTGGAAATATCCACGCCCGTTATTGTCCCGATTCCTTTTTGATTAGCAAGTAAATCTGCAATCATACATAGTTTTGCGCCTGGTGCACAGCATAAATCAAGTATATGGTCGTCCGGCTTAATGTCTAGAGAATAGACGGCAATCCCGGAACTTAAATCCATGCCAAAGATCTATTGATAGTAGATTTTTTATTATTCAAATTCGGTAAAGATAGGATATCAATATTATATTTTGATTATTACTATACCTTTCCATCTTTATAACTAGAATCATAACCATCCACAATAAAGATTAACATGAGAATTAAAATGATTGCTCGATTGCAAGATAGCTTCAGATTATTGATCTTACGCTTGACAATCCACGATCTTTTCGTTCGCATCAATCCTACAAAAATTATCGATTCCATCCACTTGCAAAACTGGGCCGCTTAATTGTTCCCTCAATTCTTTTAAGGTTGCCTGCTGCAGCAGTGGATCGTGCTGACCTGTCAACCGAATATATCTTGGAAGATTATTTATGTGGTACACAGACGGATCAATTTCATTATCCTCGAGAAATTTTACAAAAGATTTTGGAAGATTAGATATCGAAAATCTTTCGGCGCCATTGAAATTTGTCATGATTTTTAAGACTCAAGTTACGAAAAATTTCATAAAGTACAACATCTATTATTAGTCTATTAGTTGTTACACAAACATTTTAACTTATAATTAACAAAATAAATATGTGCCATAATGAATTTGTGTAGGCCTGCGCAGATTATCGCCTCATATTAACTAATTCACTCATTTTTTCTATAAATTCTTCACCATTTAATTTTTTAATAAATTATTTAAATTATGGGAAGAGAAGTTGATCGAGTATAAAATAAAGAGAGCAAATTCTTTTTTTCTTTTTGTTTATAACAAGCCAAATATAGTGGTGTGGTAGTAATGTTGATGATGATGTATTAATTATTAGTATTTGATGAGGAAGTAAGTGGTGTGTGTGTTTGATAAAAATAAAACAAAAAATTAAGTAATTCTCATCTCACTTATCATTAGAAAAAATCAGTCCGTGAGAAAAAACAAAATTAATTTCCAGGCTTTTTTTATCCGAGGTAGTAAATAATAATAGTAATAATAATAGTTTACATAAAAAAGAACGTAGCAGTAATATTTTTTGTTGTCGTTGTTATTGTTGTTGTAGTAGTAAGAGAAAGAGACAATCCAAAAGATTTCGCCATTCGTTGTCATCATCGCCACATCAGACTTTACGCTTTAGATTGGTGCTCAACCATTCCAAACCCTCGTAAAGACCATCCCCACTCGTGGCACAAGTGGCTTGAATATACCAATGGCGTTGTCGAAGGGAGTGAAGTCCAAGTTTATCCGTGATTTCCGCGGCATTCATGGCATTTGGCAAATCTTGTTTGTTTGCAAATACTAAAAGAAGCGCGTCACGCAGTTCATCTTCATTAAGCATACGCTGGAGCTCTTCCCGCGCTTCCGAAATACGTTCACGATCGTTAGAGTCAACAACAAAAATAATTCCTTGGGTATTTTGGAAGTCTAGGAATTGTATAATCAATTTTTAATTTTATCATTTACTAATTAATAATGTTCTACAATTAATAATGTGAATGATAAAGATAGTATCGAATGTTTTATAAAATTGTCGGACAAATAACACAGACAAAAATAATGAACTCGAAAATTTTTTTCCAAATTTAACTTACAATGGCGCCATAAAGGTCTAATCTTATCCTGACCACCTACATCCCAAACAGTAAAGGAAATGTTCTTGTATTCTACCGTTTCGACATTAAATCCTGTCATCACAAATTAACAGTATAATTTTTAGTATAAATTCGTAAGGAACATAAATATAATCACAGAAAGTAGAACAATCAGAAGATTTTTACGCTCCGTTCGCGTAGCCAACTACTTTTTTTTGTCTATACCTCTCGCTCACGATGTGGCGTAAAAACAGAAGGTTCACCTAATAAAAAACTCACCAATGGTTGGGATGGTAGTGACAATTTCACCAAGTTTAAGTTTGTACAAGATGGTGGTTTTACCGGCTGCATCCAGACCCACCATCAGGATGCGCATCTCCCGCTTGCCAAACAAACCTTGAAGAAGTTTCGAAATTGAAAGACCCATTTTTGCGTTTGATTTATTTTTAGTAAAAGGCTAGGAAAACAAATAGATAAGTTCTATATGAAAAAAATAAAAGTGTAGTCTAGGAGTAATGAAATAAGGTAATAAAGGTCAAAACGGTATAGTTAATAACCCACACAAAAAGCGAAAAAAATCGTATGCGTTGGTAATTTACCTGAAGTTGGCTAAATATACGATTTTTCAACAATTTGCGGTCTTGACGATGTCGCATAATTATTGGTTGATTGATACCACGTGAGATAAGATCTAATAATAACCAGAGGAATAATGAATGTAATGAATGTAATGAATGGGAAACAACAATCAATAGTTGCCAGGTGTTCTTCATTGACACCGCCAGGTGGGCCTCACATAAAAAGCCAGGTTTCTAGTTTTTCGTTATTAATTTAAAAGCGCAGTTCTAAACATGCATCATCGTGTAACAAACGTTCCACAAAATACGTGGTTTTTTGTTCCGCAGATTTTGACAGTTTAGCTAACTGGAACAAAAAGATCAACACGTATAAAGCATAATTAATATCGATCGTTAATATCAATTAACACAATACGCAGTGGTAGCGCATCAATAACAAAAATACATTATTATAATCATTTATTTACGATAAGATGTACATTTTAAATAAATCACGTAACGCGTAAATATAATAGTTTTCGGATCAATTTCTCGATCCTATATGCATTAAAAATTAGCATCTAACCTAAAAGAAAAAAGGATACTAATCGAGAGAAAACGAACCTATATTATCAGAACGGGTGAATTCCTTCTTTACTGTATTTATCACGAAATAATTATCCAACGAAAAGAAAAGAAAAGAAAAATAACTTAACCCCTCAACTCATCTTTTCAATTGCTCAAAAATAGAGGATTTTGAGTATTTCATATAAAGATGACCACACCATTCGCGATGATGATAAATATTATATTATGAAGACGATGAAGATCTGTCTGGTGGTCCAGATCTAAACTTACAACAAAGGGACTCGTTGCTGAAGAATCATGAAAAAGACACAAAAATGCAATTACACATACATACTCATTACCCCCATTCTCATCATATATTATGCAGTAGTACACTTTGGCATTGATAAATAGGCATCACAAAACCTTTTTTGTGGTTGAGTTGATCATTAGATAATATTAATAAATACTTTCAGTTATTCGGCTGGTAATCCGTTAACATCATTTTCTTTTTCATCTTTCGATGCCTTGTTCTGCCAAAGCCCGTAGCTTTTTCCAGGTGTAGTCTACACATATATTAGAAAATTGATTAGACATTTCATAATAATAATAGTTCATATATAACATACGCACCTGCCACAATCGTATGGTACCATCCTCTACACATCATCACGATGAAATAAAAAAATTTAATTAAATATTCCAGGAAAACCCCAGTATTTCATACACAATAATACCAACCTGAACCAGTCGCGTAAATTTCACCGTCGGGGCTATAGCTAACTGTATGAATTGGACCGTGATGTCCCTTGTATACCTCTTAATATAAGGGGTGCCATCATTTAGAGATACAAAGACACCATATACACGTACATAACCAATGATTGCAATTGGTCAAAAGAAATTTTTCGCTAACCAAGTTCTTTTCCGCTTTCAAACTCATAGATCCGAACCCATAAATCATTACTTCCGCCTGCAACAAAACGCTTATGGTCAGGATGCAGTGACACTGATGAGACGTCGTAAGCCGTTGCAATAGTTTTCGAGGGTTGATAACTAAAAGAAATCATTATTAACTTATGATTATTGAATATATTTAAAGACTAATATATATATATATATACTCACTTTGATGCATCCAGAAAATATACTGTTTTTCCAGCTGTGCATGTGATATATTTGCCATCAGCCGATAACTCCATACTAGTGATGGCATGTTCAGTTTTAAATGTATTCACTTGACTAAAGTTACGAATATCCCAGACACTAGAGAAACAAAAGGAAGAATCTTGCTTTCTTTAATCTAAAATCTGTAGTATGATCTCTGTTTTATTTTACCTACCGAATTTCTTTATCATCACCAGCACTGAGCACCACGTTCCTCTCGCCGTCCCAAATAACACTTTTAATTGTTGATTCATGCCCCTCTGCTTCTAACGCAGGCTCCTCAGGTTTATTCAGATCGTATATTCTTAACTTTTTTTCTTGACCCCCAGAAACGATACGCGTTCCATCGTCGGACATATCGGCAGAACGTACAATATGCCCATGCACAAAAGAATGAAGCACATCACCAGTATAAGTATCCCACACCTTGCTAGAAATAAGAATACCCGAGAGAGTTGTTGAATATGATATGAATGGCTAACCCGGGTTTTTTTTAAAAAAAGACGAATTCAGAGGAACCCACGCTGTAAAATCTGCTGAAGCCGTCACAGCTTTCGATGCATCTTTGCTCAGTTTTGCACTCCAGACGGCGCCTTTATGTCCCTGAAAAGTACCTATCCAATCACCGGTTGGACCATCTCGTAGCATCGGATTACCGTCTACACCAAAAGTAGACTTATAAAATTCCGTCAAAGATGAAGCCGATTTTATATTTAAAAAGACAAGGTACCTTTACACGCGCTGATTAAATAGTATGTGCCATCTGTAATGGGCGAGAATTGTAAGTGAACAACAGGTCGTGTGTGACCTGAGCACGTCAAAGGTATAACTCTTGAGGGATTTGTATTTGGAGGTGGTTGTGTAGTCATCGTTGTGTTATGAATTATTATTATTATTATTATAAAAAGAGCTAGTAAAGAAAATTGAAGTATTCAAATATCCGAGATATTAACTAAGAAGAAACAATAAATATGTTGATGGACAAGCCAAAGGGTAAGCGAAGAATAGTGGTAGATAACGCTTTGCCCTTCAACCGCGGAAACCAGCAAGTTATTTTTGGCGTCAAGCATTTTGACTCGTTTTTTTTTGATGACGTCCTCGAGATTGCAAAATTGGTGATCGTGTAACTATACTACAAATTTACGATACAGGAAGAAGGTACACAAAATTTTCAGTGTGTAACTTATTCTCGAAAAGTTCAATAAACAACCTTTTTTTTTGGTGTAGATAGAAATGAATAACGATAAGGAATTGGTTAGCATGAAAGTTTTTGCCTTATATTAATTCGTTTTGATTTATTGCCTTTTATGCAATAATGAGTCTGTAATTCACGTGTTTAGAAATCTCAGGAAAGTGAAGAGGAAATTGATAAAATGGAAGAAGATAATGAATTGTCTGCATCAAATTCTATAGAGGGTGAAGATAACAATGATATTGATGATAATGATAATGATGATGATGATGATGACGATGATGATAATGATGACGATGACAATGACGATGATAATGACGATGATGAAGAAATGGGTGAAATAATATCAGAAGAGAGCGAAAGTGGTAACAATTCAATATTTAAAAATAGTGACGAAAACGAAGATGAAAATGGAAACGAATCGGATGATGACAGTAAACAAGAAAATCTTTCTTTCGATAGTACAGAGGAAGATGCTGAATCAGAAGATGACGAAAACCAGAAAATAACACCTCAATCTGCACGAGAAAAAATAATGGTGATTTTTTTATTATTTAAACAGAATAGCATCATATATATTCATTACCATTTTGTTTGGGGATTAGTTAAAAGATGAAGAGGCCTCGGAACCTGTTCCACTTTTAGAACGCTCGGAAGCTGCAAAAAACTTTCGAGATTTTTATATGAATCAAATCACCGCCGCTTTTGGAGAAGATTTGGATAAAATTCGAAAGGTATCATTAATTACTATCTACCACTCTTTTGTAAATATTTAAACGTTTTCCTTAAAACTTTATAGGAAGAAAATTTCGATCATAATCGATTGGATATTCTTATTGATTCTCTAGAGTCAAATATAAATATATTCTCGGATATCGAGAAAGAATTAGAGTTGGTGACATTTAAACAAAAAACGTGATATATAAACAAAAAACGTGATATATAAACAAAAAACGTGACATATAGTAATGTGAGAAAATCAAAAACAATGATGTCTCAAAAAAAACAATAAATTAAGATACTATCTAAAATCGATTAGTTTCCCGTCATCTGCGCAAAATAGTTCTTTTGATGACGAAGAAAATGACGGCGAAAACGATATATTTTACAACTTTACAAATTTAGCCTGCAAAAAGACTCGATCTACCGTCAACTCTTGAGCTCTATTTGTAGTTTCGCGTTCGATATATTCTGCGTATATTTTTTTGAACCCATGCGTTTCAAACAGCTGCGTTAAGTACTCTATCGAAAAAAAATACGACATCGTACCGTCCTGTCGAACGTATAGATTTTCTTCTATTTTGTGATTGCCACTTGTGGAAAATCGAAGCTGTGTCTCATCGTAAATAGCATAATCGCGAAAACACACTATACCTCCGGGCTTCATCACCTTTTTTTTGCCAATTTAAGAATTATTAAAATATAAATTCAATCAAATCATGTTTTTTTATTAACACTTGCCTCTTTGATGTTCTCAAGCATCTGTGAATGCATCTCTGGTGGAATAGCGGATGCGACAAATATCGCCGAGACTAAATCCACAGTGTTTGGATATATAAGTGAACTTAACGGGTCTTTTGTAATGTCGGCAACGAAAGCATGACACCGCGTCTCTTTGTACTTTTCGTGATTCTAGTTGTGAAAGTAAATATAGTGGATCTCTTGAATGAATTTGTGAATACTAAATCTTTATTTGTAGTTTGAACTTTAATAACCTGAACAAATTGAATAGCCCGTTTCGAGAAATCACACGCGTATATGAAAACAAAAGGATTTGCATCGAGAATCGGAAACATAAAATTACCCACGCCACAGCCTAATTCCAAAACTATCTATATATATTAAAAATAACGATAAGTTTTCATTTCTTATCTAAGCATCATACGTATAAAAAAAATAGATAGTAGATACTTTTTGTTGCTTTGAAACATCTTCCTCATCTTCATGGACACTCAATTCCTCAAACTCGCGACTTATCCAATGTCTGTCCTTGAAAAAATTTGTCTTGTTTCGTTTATAGAATAAATCCCTAAAAAAACAAGATTAATAAACAATTAAAGTTAGTTTAGACAGGTATATTTGAGTAAACTGCATTTACCAATTTTTGGCTGCCTCATTTTTGTATTTATTTGCCCAGAAACGTCCAACGGGTTTCGTGTCTTTCGATAGAATTTCTTTTGCTTTAGCTTCTCGTTCGGTCATTTTATTCTGGTGATCGGTTTACACTTTTTTGGTATAGATTTTATATGCATTATTCCATGTCACAAAATTGAATATCTAAAATTTAATTTCTGTATTTTCACAATGCTTCAAGAAACACCCATTCAAATTGCACTTGAAACAACTAGCGCCGAAGCTCTCGAAACTACAGCCAATAATTTAGAACCTGAAAATATAGACAGCTATATAAATGCCCATTCACAAACCGGGCTTTCCACTGATCCATCCGTAACGATGCCTATGCTGTCGGAAGGATTTCTAGCACATTGGTTACCCCTAATAACACAAGCAGAAAGGGAGCTCGAGGAATTTGAGTAAGAACATGGTATATCTTTTAATATGCTTGCTTGTCTGCGCTGGTAACATGGATCTTTGCCAGATATTAAATATTCGTCATTGGTTAAAAGAAAAAAGCAACAACTCCTCCTTGATGATGTAAAAAACACAAGTAACCGAGTAGAGAATCAAGACAATTACGAATATGTTGCGTTGACGGTAAGATTGTTATCAATTAATAAACTGCTATTCTTTTCGCTATCGATGATATGATAATAATTCTCCCCCCCCGTATCACGAAATCAAGTTTTCTAAGATCCCAGAATACACAAACAAATTGCAATACATACGAAGTACGATCCTAATGATGCTTTCGCGATCAAAGTTGCTCAAACGTCGAGTCGGACAACTGAAATCGATAAAAGACCAACAGATAGCACAAGTTGCACAGATCAAACAACGCGAGCGAAAGTTTGATGAAACTGTGTTGGCAGCCAAAGTTGTGGCAAACCCAGAAATGCAAACGATTGTATTAAAGAGTTCCCGAAAAAAGAAAAAAGAGACCGATATTAAACAGAAAGATAAAAAAGGTGGTAGTAGCAAAACGGGGAAAGAAAAAGGTAAAAAAAAGGCAGAAACAAATCCTCATTCTTCTGTTTCAACCATTAGAGAAGATGATAATGAAGGCAATATTAATACGCAAGATGTCAAAGAGTTGCCCGAATAATGATAGTAGCAATGTATAACTGTATTATTTTTAAGAAAATGTGATCACTTGTTTAAAACAATGATGATTTCAATCTCTGGGTGATCCTTCCAGAATTTCTCTCCTATGATATCTGTATGCAGCACTATGACCGTCTTCTTCTGTCGTGTTTTTTCTATTCCCTGTTCATTCACTGTCGTTACTTCGATCTAATTTATATAAAATCATATTAATTACGATTGAACTAATTTATATATAATAAAATTGATCACGATCGATCTGAGGAAGATAAGATAATTACCTCCTCTCTTATTAGCACTGATCCTTTTCGATACATTTCTGGTAATTTATTGTAGTTGATATTGAAATTGGAAAACAGCAATTCATTTTTCTCTTTTGATACGGTTCCCTTTTTTGGTCAATAAATAATTCAAGGACTCTAAGTGTGTGAAGAAGATCGTATTATTACTTGTGATGATATAAAATAATACATACTCTGAGGATATCATCAGCTTCAGATTTCGTTTTTCCTGAATGTACCAATGCCCAAAAGCAAGTGTTGTATAAGTTATTGATATGACCTACGAAAGGAGAACACAAAATTGAACATCAATTTATAAATCGATAATTCACAGAAAAACGTAAGTATCTATACAATCCGCTTGCCGCCAACTCAAATAATCTCGTAAATTATCATCAGAAGGATACAATATAACACGTCCATCAAATGATGGCGGATACAATAACTCTTTAGCGGGGAAATAATGTTTCCAATGGAACACGTAATTAGAAGAAAACAAGCTCACTATCGTTGTCAGTATTTTTCTAAATACAAAAAGAATAGAATTTAGACCAGTTTCGCAATTATAAGATAACCATAAATATATTAAATGACAAATAGACAGATCTTACGACTCACGACGTCTATATAAATTGCAACTCTTCCTTAGAACAAAACTTTAAAGGTGGTTTGAATCGATCATTTAATTTAACAATAAAATTACCGGCATGACAATAATCTAGCATAGATACCTATACTCATCACTTTCCCCGTATCCTAACACAATATCGTTGATCTCATTCATTACAGCTGTAGCACATTGATTCATCAAATCTAATGCATTTTTATCATTTGGTTTCTCGAAATTATGAGCAGCGGAAAATCTATTTAATCAATCCGATCTAATTAATCTTTTAATAATTGTAAAAATATTTTTCTATTGGGATTTACTTGTGAAAGCCTTTTCCGTCTAAACGAACCACTAACCAAGTGTTTGGAAGTAATGAATCATCTCTTTCGAACGATTTTACATACTCGTATTTAGATTTCGCCATTACATTAAATCTATCGAAGATAGGAGATTTCCATTATCGTTATGGCAAATGAAAATTCATCTTCATTTTCATTGGCTCAACTAATTTTATTGATGGCGTAAATTATATATTAAATAACTAACTAATAATATATAAAAATACTACATTCTCAATGATGATACGTAAAAGTAAAAATATAATATCCATTATCAATACATAATCGTGTTTATCTTAATGGCATTGACACTCTACAACATCTTAGATACAGTAACACTATATAGTGTTACTGTATTGGATCAAGGTTGTGTCCTCGATATTCAATTACCAGCCTTAGATTATTGCAGTTCTATGGTGGATGTTAGTCAAACATGATGATTTCAAGTCCTAAATGGAAGAAGCAACTTAATCACCGTTTGCTGGAGCTTCAAACTATAATTTCGACATTAATATAATCAATGCGCACTTCGTTCTTTGAAAAATATACTCGTCTCGTTTGCAGAAAATAAATTCATGTCAGTCAATAAACAATAAAGAAATAATAAATAAATAATAGATTTTGTGACCGATCAAATAAGATCAAGTAAACTATACGGTCATGTTTCCTCGACGCTGCTTCGGAATCAACAGCGTAAACCTTTGTTTTCGCGTGACTCAAAACGAAGCTAATAGAGGAAATCCCGATTTTTTTTTATCATTTCAGTCATAAACGCAGTTGCAAATTTTGTCTTTTTTGGTTATAGCTCACAGTGCAAGTAATGACAAACACTCACTTTTAGTATTATTATTAGTCCTCTGTCGTTTTCTCATCAAAGCAATGCTCAGACAAGCCTAATTTCACCAAAAAAGAAAAAAGATACAACTTTGTTTTTGTTTCGGTTGGTTTCGGTTATTTTCCAAAATTAATATGCACCAAGTCATATGACCCAAGTAGATTAAAAATGGACGCGCTTTCCTGCGTCAAAAGATTTTAGAATTAACAGAATTGATAAAAGTAAAGATATGCCAACAAACATGAGTGAAAACTCCGAAGGATTCACAGAAGTGTAAATTTGTTTTCATAGCACTCTGCGGTTCAACTTTCCAATCCAACTTTTTAATAATTGATAATGACAGAACGTTAGAACGCGTCAATGCATCATACTATAATATGCCGGTGCAACAAAATGAACTACTTCTCAAGGAGAAAACTTATCGTCAGCAATATGCAAATTTATACTTTCTCAGGCTGACTACGTTGGGACCTATGGTGTTGGAAGCTGCACGAAAAAAATGGGATACAACAGAGATGAAAAGCGAGATGGATCAACAGCAACGGCAAGGTTATTCATTATTCAGATTTTCCATATGGAATTGTTACGTTTTTGCAGCTATGATTAAATATGAATAAATTTTAAGATGGGGAAAATGTGCAGATTAAAACTAGACACACAAAGAGAGTGTTGGAAACGAAACCGGGAGTCGTTTGTTACATTCTTGGAACTTTATATGTTGAGATGCTTTATAAGCCGAATATACTCGATGAGGTCACAAAAGAAGTAAGTGATTTAATTGTGTGATTCTTTTTTTATTTTATTGCAAAAGCATTCAAAAATAAAAAACGATTAATAGAGTCTATAATTCATTATGAGCGAAGCACTGGGCAGAACAACCTCCGCCACGTGAAAAGTATTGTAGTGAAACGGATGAATATATGCTAGAAGATGAGTCCGGGCGAATAAAGTTAACAGGCGATATTCTCAAAACTGAGAGTTTAGTAACTGGTAAGTTTAAATCAGATGAAAAATAATATGAAATAGCTTTCTGAAATTATTTATTTTCTTTTAGGAATAGTGATGGCTACGTTGGGTTTTGAGAATGAAGCCGGTGAATTCGAAATTATGGATATTTGTTATGCTGGTATGCCGCCCCAAAAAAAAGCCAATCAAATGGAAACAGGTGTCAGATATACTCGGTTTTCATCTATTCATTTATTGAGAAGTCATAATTATTATTAATGATAAGATGTAAAAAATATAAAGATGACAATGGGGGTGGTGAACAAGATACCGACAAATACGTTGCTCTTGTCTCTGGACTAAATGTTAGTAGTGATAATAGTCAAAAGTCGATGCAGATAGAGTTATTTATAGATTATATAACGGGTATGGCGGGAAGTGCGCAGGTAAAGGCTAATGCTCCATCCACCGATCTAAATAACAATTTATTATGATTATTTATTGAATTGACTTTTTTTTGTCGTAAAAGGAGCAAATTACGAGCTCGAAAATTGTTCGTGTCATTTTAGCCGGGAATAGCGTGGCAGAAACCAAATTTACCGAGTGCGATGCAAAACATGCAAGTAATTCGATGAAATATATTCAGTGATGATATAGTTTATTTATTCTCTTGTTTATAAATTTAAAAATCACTGTTTCCAGAAGAAATATGGATACGAAGGAACCGATTACGACATAGGACCTTCCGCTGAATTAGATAATATCCTAGAAACGCTTTGCTCAACAGTACCAGTTGATATAATGCCTGGCTCTCACGATCTCGCAAATGCAACATTACCCCAACAGCCTATTCATCTTAATCTTTTCCCTAAAACTTCACAGTATTCCTCTTTTTCTAGTGTCACGAATCCTTATTGGTGTGAAATAGACGATGTTGTGTAAGTTTTATTTTTTTTATTTACTAAATCTTTTTTATATTCTTTTTTTTACATCTTATCCTGGAATAATAATAACAGATTCTTGGGTAATTCTGGCCAAATTATTGACGATATTTATAAAAATCTTCATGGTGATAATCGGCTTGAATTTGCGGAAAAAACTTTACATTGGCGGCACACAGCACCAACAGCACCTGATACACTTTGTAGGTTCAATAAAAAAGATTTTTTACATTTGCGGAAAGATACTGACAAAAAGTTCGTGATTTTTTAAGGGAGTTATCCATTCATAAGCTATGATCCATTTATCCTAACTCAAACGCCTCATATTTATTATTTTGGAAATCAGAAAGAATTCGCTACTAATACTGTCGATGGTAATGTGCAGATTTATATTTGCACATAACACGTGCAATATGCAATTTATTATGTTTTTACATTTTTTACATGATAATTTTTTACTACTACATATTATAGGTCCTGATGGACAATATACAAGAATCATATTGATTCCGTCATTTGCAGAAACGGGAGTAGTTGTGTTTGTGAATCTAAAAAATTTAGATTGTCATACGGTTACTTTTAAGGTTTCCTTTTAACAAATATACGTATGCACATATTTTCCGGAACAATAATGAACTTGCTTCTCGATGAGATGTTTATTTAATCGACCAATTACAAAATCGGAGTTTTTTTATTTTGAAGATTCCACATTATTATTCCCATTACGAGAATTGTGTGAAAAAACGGTAAAACTGACGTATTAAGTTAATGTACATAAGGGTAGGATTGTCATCTCATCGTCATACGCTAGGCCCTGATTGTCTTGAGTTCGAAGTTTTTTAAGCGATGGATTCTTCAAAAAAGGAATTTCTAATTGAATCTAACCAATATAGTGAACAAAATACATGTGATTTTATATGTGAAACGTCATTTCCAATTCTGTCAAGACTAACGAAAAAAAATCAGGTTTGCCACGTCGTAAAAAAACCTAAAATTAAATCAAAAATCAGAAATCAACCTCCCCATCATCTTTTCGGCCATGTAAAGAAAAATACCGTTTTATTCTCCATGTCAGCGAACTGTAAACACTATAATATAGTTAATTGTCAACGAATAAAGTATATTTAAAAAGAATTTCGAAAATTATAGTGATACATATTTTGTCAAACCTAAAATATTGAATAATAGTGTGAAGAACGAGTTGGTGGTTTTTCAGTCTTTTTTTCACGCGTCTTTTTTCAACATCTTTGGCTGTGTTAATTACTTTTATCGAAGTGCACCTTTGAAGGTTTCTATTTAGCTAATATTTATTCTAAAAATAAATTCATTTATAGTGGTGATAAAATATATATGTATTCATATATATATGAAATATATATATGATAGATATATAACATTTAATTTCGCATGCAACAACACATAGACCAGTTTTGCAACTTTCGGACTCACCACGTAGTGCTGCAGCCGTAGTGTCGACACCACTTCTGATGAATTCAACAGATCTTTCAGAAGAACAAGAACGTTTTTACAATGCAGTTCGTGAGATTATTATCATGCTCTTACTATTCCTGCCGCTTTACTCCATTTCGTACAATGTAATACAAAGATTCCGCCGAAAACAGCAACAACAGCACCAAGCTCAACAACAGGAAGTGGAAGACGAGGAAGAGGAAGTGTTTGGAATAGACGAATTAATATTGGGATTTTTGTGTGCTGCGGGCTTGGCAATGGCCTTGGCAGGATTTTTCTTGTTACCGGGTACAATGGCAGCTACAGCATTGATTGAATTACAATTGTCAGGAAAAGGAGAAGATAATAAACATCATTATTATTACTTGGGTTGGTTAGATACCAACCTTTTGGTGACTCTTTGGAATTACACATTTATCGGATGTAATATCTCGTTGTTTGGTTTACTTCCGTTTGCGTATTTCTATAATGAAACAGATCAATTAAGAACTTTTTTCGCCAAAGCAAGAGAAACTTTGACGATTATGTTACTGGTTGGACTATTAATTTATGGTTTTATCTATGTCTCAAAATCCATCCTAAAAATGAATGAATTGCCGAGTTTGGTGGTGCTTAATCTTTTGACGTGTCTCGTGGGTGGAATTATTTGTTTGACAGCCACACCGAAAGGATATGTGAAAATCTTTTCGTGGATTTATTTATTGCCATTACGACCAAATTATCGAAAATCATTAAAAGATAAGCTTGTGGAAAATAAAATGGAGACAGGAGCTTGGCAGTTCAAATTGGAGTCTTTGGAGAGGGAATTACATTCCGATAACATTGATTCAAATTACACGTTTGTCCCGTCAGTAACCTCTTCATTTCCATTATCATCCAAAAACTTATATGTAAATGGAATCAATGGAATCAATGGAATCAGGCGACATAAAAAAACTTCACCAACAGAGTCTCTATTAAAAACCCGAGACGAGATTCGAGCAAATTTGAAAAAACTCGAACTGGAACGAAAGCAAACACAGCTTGATCTATCACATTCCCCGCTTTATCGCAATATATCATTTTTCCTGCTTTTCCTTCTTAGTCACATCATCCTCTTTCTTCTCATAAGCTACGTCGCCTTTAATTTCATGAAGGGAATCTTGGTATTTGATGAGAAAGCCAACAACCAGCAACCAAATCTTTTATTGGTGTTTGGGAAGCAGACATCTTCTTTTCTTTCAATGTTTGGCGCAATTAGCACACTCACCGAGATTGCCTTGATTTTTTATTTCACATTTGCCACAATTATCGGCGTCTATTCCATGCCACTATTTGCTCAGATGAAACCACAATGGGGACGAATGACGATGCAAAAGACTATTGGGAATGTTACATTGCTATTGGTGATCAGTTCTTCGTTACCGGCCATCGTGCAGATATTGGGTCTTTTGAGATTTGAAAGTGCTGGGCCATACGAAAATTTTCATATGCTAAAGAATGGGAATTGGGTGAACACGGGTTTTCGTCTCGGAGTTTTGATTACTTCAGTGTTGGCCTTTTTAGATTATTACATACTGGGGGGCTTGAGATCGATTAGTGGTGGGGTTGGTGGGCGTGATTGGAAATATTTGAATAATAATTATAATGGACATTTGGTTATTCGGCATCATCATAATTATCACCATCAACATCATCATTATATTCCTCATGACTTATCAATACATAGTAACGGATTCGTGCAGCAACCGGATCATGTCTATTCTAATAATTATAATTATAATTATAACAATAACAATGAACTCGATGATCGACTAGTCATAGGCTCTGTTGTCAATGATGGATATAGAAACGGATATACGAACGGATATATGAATGGATATATGAACGGATATGAAAGTGAATACACAAATGGTCACGTCAATATTGTTGAAGACGGAAATGCACCAAATGGCAAAAACGGCTATGCGAATGTGTATGAACATGAATCTTATCATGAACGGTAGCAGGGGGTGATTTGGGAAAAATTATTATATTAAAAACATTATTATAAGCTAATATAAGCAAGGTAATAATCAGCCGTTCAATTAATTACCATTATCGTTTATTGTTATGCAATATCATTTTAAATCCACATGTTATTTTATATATATTTTGAAATATAGTACATTAAAAATACAAATAACTTGTAGAAGTTATAAGTCTATATTATTAACATTAGTATATTAATATCGTATGATTTAGTTAAAATTCTTAAATGTTATATTTGGTATAGACATTTGTGAAAGCAAAAAAAATTTTATTTACAATCACAAAATTGGTTATATTAATTACTTATATTATTCTTAATCTAAGTATGAAAAATATTTTATGATCGTGATAGTGAGATTTTTAACTTTTACATGATTTAATTTTTTTATATAAAAATTTAAATTCATTTTAAAAAAGCATTTAAAAAGTTATTAATAGCTTTGTACTTTTAGATTATTTATGTAATATCATTTATCATTTACTGTATATACTATCATTTATTAAATTTAACATTTGAACAAATATTTTTATTAACATAATTAACTTTTTCCATTATCAAAAGTATTTTGACTTTGATTGCATTATAAAACTCAATTAATTAATTATGTTACATTTAAAATTACTATTAAAATCCATTTTGAGTAATGCCAAAATATTAAATCTTTTTGATTTAACATAATTTTCATATTAACAAACATTTTAGCTAAAAAATTTACAAAATAAATTCAGTTAAATTTATGAAATACAATCAATTGGATGATTATAAAAGTGATAAAAAGTATTTTTTTTGACAACAGAAAATGACTTAAATTATTCAATTCTTTTATTAGTTTTGGGTTTAATATTAATTTCTTTATTAAGTACATAATATCAGATAAATAAAAATCATTTAATAAAAAATTTATCTAGTGATTTCAGCATTTATCAGTCCAGTAATTTATGCATCACGAAAATAGATATAGTCATTTTCTTTGATCAGTAGATATAGATTCACATGATTAAATAAACGCGATTTATTTACCAGCCTAACGCTAATCACTATACAGTTAAAAATCCTCACTTTCTCACACAGTTGAATTTTGACATGTATAAAAAAAACGACAAGAGTATTCTCATCGACGATGTTCTCTTCAAAATTCTAGAACTAGTTGACCCCAACACTTTGCTTGACTGTCTTCTTGTCAACCGCAATATGTACCAACTGGCAATACAAATTTTGTGGCGTGCGCCTCGTTTCAGAGTATTTCAGACAGTAAAACAGTTTTGCAAAGCTTTGGAATTTAGGCCGCATAACGCCAAATTCGTGCGCGAACTCAACTTCAATATTGAAAGTATCTACAACCCAACTAATAATAATCTGTTTATTAGTATTGTGAAAAACTGCCATAACCTCGTCAAACTCTATGTAAGCTTTGCTTCCTTGATCACAGACGAGGCTATAATTACTGTATCACGACAATGTCCAGATTTAAAGACAATTGAATTATGTGAATGTGATAAGTTGACTGATATTTCGATCAAAGCTCTAGCGAATGGATGCAATCGGTTGCTTGAACTTGATTTGGAAAGGTGCAATAATTTAACACCACGTGCAATCGACTACTTGGCACAAAGACAACATTTAGAGGTGCTGAATTTGAATTTATGTGGATGGGTTAATGATGACGTCGCGTATTCAATGAGTGAATTCTATTCTCTTCGTGTCCTGAAGCTTTCTAATTGTACAAATGTCACCTCTAAATTCTTCACGACCTTGACGCCGTATACACCTCACCTTAAAGAATTACATATCACCAGATCATCTGAAATGAAGGATGAAGGGGTTATTAGTATCACAAAGAATTGTCCTGAATTAGAGGTGTTTGTCTTGTGTGGTTGCAATATCAGTGATTTGTCAATGTATTGTATTGCCGAGAACTTGAAAAATTTAAAAAAGTTGGATGTTACGGGCTGCTCGAATATCACCGACAAGGGATTGGAGCTGGCGTTGTGTTTGAACTTGACATCTTTAAGGACAAATAATTTTGATCTTAACGCCGATGCCTTGAATTTATTGAGAAGCCAGTTTCCGAAATTTTGGGGGGACGCTTTTCATGATGTTATTACTTACTAGAACAATCACAGCAACAACGGAGAAAGGGATTAGAATTTATAAATCCATAATACGAACTTTCTTAAGATTTAGTCTCCAGCTAGGATAACACAATATATAGTAATAATAATAGTAGTAGTAGTAGATTTATAAAATCATTGCATTGTATTAGTATCTACTAAAAAAGGGTTTTATTTTCTCATCCCCAAACAATCATAATTCAAGCGCATGTGGAAGTCTAGCGCGATACATTTAGCTTTTATAAGTAGCTAAGAGGAATCAATCTCGTTTTTTTATTGAGGGATGGCTGATTGTTGTCAAATAAAAAGCTGATTAGTTTGAAGAGGCACATTGTTATGTTTACACTGGAGGCTTGTAAGAATTTCTTTTAACACCAAATACCAAACAATCAATCAATGAATCCGTCAATCGCCAGAAAGTCGTGCAAGTTCGATGAATCCGTATGAAACCTGATTGAGCTTTGGAAAGAGAGATAGAGGTTAAAGGTAACTTGTTACAATGTTTTAGAGGTGATTGATGATTCTTTTTTGGAATTTATTGAGTTCTTGACCCACTGCTTTTATTATTGTAACAAATAAATTGAAAATAATAAAAAGAATATCTGTTTGAAAGTTATGTAACAATTTTTTATAGTCAAATCTCATAATAGATGAATGTTGCTGTACATTGATTGAGTACAGATAAATCATAATAATACAGTATCGGTATTGACAGATGGTAATTTTGGTGATTGTTTAGCAGTAGTTGTTAGAGCATGGATTATTTCATTTAATATTCTTGCATCAATTGGATCAAGTATAATCTTAACATTATTATCTTCTTGCATGTTATTATGTTGGATAGACTATTTCCGACTTGATATCTGGACAGTCTCATACAGTTGGTTTGCCATTCAGATAACTTTAGCAGACATTTACTGGGATTATAGAAGTCATGGTGCCTTTTTCTAGAACGCATTACTCGGACGTTTTGTAATCAAACAAATGTCCAGCAGGAACCCTTTTTTGCAAGTATCCATATTTCGAAGAATTGCTACAGATTAGTTCAAAATGTTGGCTGATAAAAAGCGTAGAACCTACAGTCTGTTTAAAATTGACCTGCACCGATTGGTTGCGCAGATAAAACATTCATCCTTTAATATGACGATATGGGACGCGGTGTGGAATAAATCTAACAACAACGATTTAAATTAGAGTCTAAAGAATATAGTCATATCTATGTAGTTTTATAGTCTTTGCAGCTTCATGGTATCACTCTTGGCTAAGAGAAGCGCTCAGAGAATACATCATTTTAAATGGAAGCAAATAATTACAGACTTTCAATTGGTGGAGCACAAAAGAGAATCATCATAACAAAAAAAACAAGGATCTTAAGAAAAGTTAAACCTATACGTGATGTTCCTAAACTTTTGCAAGTGGATGATGGCGGCAGAAGCGAAACGCAAAGCACAACCACAGAAACAGAAACAGAAGCGGCCTGCGTTATATCTAGCTTGCCTACGCTAATAGGAAGATATTAATTGTTGGCTCTGACAATTTGGCGATTTTAATGTGCAAGAATAGGAAAACGATTGAATGATTAAGGTACAGAAATTGCCAATATTACGGTTGATTCGTTGCATAATGTTGCTATTATTCTTGATGGCCAGGTAATGTCGGATTTTTTCTGTGTTGTTTTAGTTTAGAATAACTTTTTTGATTATTTAGATGATTGCCTGGAAATGGAGAGCTATTTCGTATCACAGAAAAATTTAATTTTAATATAGCTGGGTGATGATCCACAGAACTACATTAAATTAGCGCTGGACGTGTTTGATTCCACTCTTGAATCTTTTACAAGCGCACGATTGAGGTATTTTAGTTGCTTTAATTTGTTTTTTTATTTAATCTAATTGCTCAAAAAAATCGACTTTTATTGCTGTAAAGCAGTTTAAAGCACGTTACAAATAGCAACAAGACATCGACTATCGGATTCGATGTAAAGAATTGATCGAATGCATTATGTCCTATTCAGGGTCATCACTACGACACCGAGATCGATTGCATTATCGAATTTTAGGTAATTAATTTAAAACACGAAACTGATCAATGTTATTTTATTGACGTGTATGTATTTAAAATATGGTAATTTTTCAAAATGTATAATGTATGATGGATGGATGGATGTGTGTATATATATATATATGTATGTAGTATGTAAAGGCACATTTATGTACAAAGGAAGAAATAAGCAAAAATCAAAATATACAGATTGATTGAATTGAAAAACACGCTGTATATAACAACTATTAGAATAGTAAAATCGATAACAAAACGATAATGGCGTGCAAATCAAATACAACAAAATCCGCTGAAATTGCTTGATGCTATTGAGTTGGAAAAGCTAATAAGAATGATAAGAATAATAAGAATAATAACTTTTGTACAAAGACAATAAAAATAAGTATTGAAGAATTAAAAGTAATACATGGCGTTGCCGTTGTTCTACAGATAATCAGTCGAGTAGCTAGGTATGTGTTTGGTTTGGTACAGGAATTTTTGTTTTGATTTGTATAAAAAAATGAATTTTTTTCTCAGCACTACGATGAATATATTTCTTCATTGCATTAAATCTTTTAATTTTGGTCTGCCATTAAACAAAAGATCAGATTAACCAAGGGCGCCAATGTTCGGCAGAATCACTGCGCTTTTGATGGTGTTGTTCGTGTTGTTGCTGTTTTTCTTTTTGTTTCTCTTCGCTCTGAATATATTCCGCTGCAGTCGCAAGAATATTAATCCCGGATTCTAATCCCATAGTATCTAAATCTGTATTTACATGGCGGGGTAGTTGATGATGAGATCCTCCGATAGTCATATGACTGAAATCATTTATCGGTGTAATAAGATATGGATTATAACTGCTAGAAGGATATTGAGATGGGATTGGGGGCGGCAAAATTGGTACTTGTTTTGGAGATGGCGTATTTGGTGTGGTCGGAGAACTTGGCGTTGTAGGTGAGGAGGAAAGAGAATTAAATTGATGCGATACAGGAAGATGATGATTATGCTGATATTGATGATGTTGATTATTATCGGGATTAAAGGGTAAAATCTTAACTGTCAACTTTTGTTGTTGAGGTGGTTGTAAATTATGAGAAGACGACGACGATGACGATGAAACAAATGAATTAGTATTATGGGATGAAGTAGTGGTTGTTGCCGTTGTTGGCAAGTGAGAGACAGTTGTGGCTCGAGGTCTTGTCTGCGATGAATTATTCGAAGTCTTTTTCGATGATGCAGAAGTTGGGTGATAAGAATGCCGCCGACCATTATTTCCCTTGGAATGATGACCACCAGATGAAGGAATTCCATCGGTGAACATTGCAACAAAGGTATAATTACTTTGGGTTGGGATGTTGCTTACGGATGACGCATGACCACTAGCAGCTTGTGCAGGTGTAACCGAATGATGGTGTAAGAAGCGGTGGTGATGATGATTAGATGCATTGGGTTCATTAGCCTTTGCACGGTTGGCTTTTGCACGTCGATTTTGAAACCAAACCTGTAATATTATTATGATTAATATTTTATTTATTATGACTAATATTGTGTTTGATAACAAATTGCTTTGTCAAGTTACCTGAACTTCGCGATTAGTCATATTAAGTTTCTTTGCTAATTTTTCGCGAATTTCATAGTTTGGAGTATCAGTTTGTTCAAACATTGCGATTAAATCGACTAGTTGCTCTTGAGTAAATCTCTTGCGTTTAACTTTTGGAGGGATATGATGAGCGTTATTATTAACAGCGGAGATGGCATCACTTGAAGGAAACTGATAATTTGATCGTGATGTGGATTTCATTGAAGACTGGACCGCGGCAGCACTATCAGCGGCTGATTTCTTTGTCGTCGACTGATAGAAAGTATTTGCACTTTTCGGGGACGAAGGTGTTGAACGTGAGAACAGGCTCGAAACATGCTGGTGATGATTTTTACTAGTATTATTATTCTGGTTATGACTCGGATTTCCACAATAATTTATTATTGTCAAATCGTTCATTGATTCCGAAGATAAATTTGGCGCAGAATAACGACGCCAATTTTGAGAATAATTGTCTTCTGATTTGACTTCATCGTTGTAATGGTTGTAGTTTTGATGGTTATGGTTGTTTATTTTCTCGGCGTCGGGATTAAGTAAAGAGAAAATTGAGACATCGGACGCTCTTTGAGAGGAATCATGAATTGCCAAATCATTATTCGTATTTGTCTGCGAATTGTTACTGGTCTTGTATTGAGAAGCGAGAGATGCCATTCTTCAAAAGAGTTTACTATTCTATTATGGTAAATTGAAAGAAATTGGTAAAGAAATCATTTTAATATCGGAAGGCTTGTTTTTATATACTAAAATTTATGTATTAATATGTACGATGTATCGGAACTATTTTCTTATGTCACTGGTACATATTTAGCAATACAAAAGATGCAAATACTATTATTGGCTACAGAAACGTGTATAAGAATACTTACGTTGCTTTTGTCTATTAAGATTCTGTGCTCAGGAGGACTAGTAATTCGTGGAATTGTGAAGGTAAGGTATATATAGTTTTTGATATGGTGGTTCTTTTCAGAGTCTTTAGTAGTCTGTATAAAAATTCTAAGAAATGAGGAATGCAAAAGGTTGCGAGTGAGTAAAGCTAAGTGTGTATTTATATATATGAGAGAGTTAAAGAGTAGAAAGACAAAGAGAGGTAAAAGTTTTAAAGAGGAAAAAATAATTATTACCGCACCAATAGTCTGATTTATAGTGTGTGTATTATTATGTAGATTTTATAATGGCATATAAATAGAGGTGGATAATATAAAATAATAATATATTTATTTATTTTATTTTAAAGTTAAATCATTCATTAATAATTATGATTAATGGAACGACGAATATTTGACTAGTTATTTATTTTTTGTAGTTAAAAATGGCTCATGATAATGATAATGAATGATTCTGATGATGATGATGAAATTAATAGTACATTATTTATTTATACAATTATAAGGAATAATAATCACTTTATTATCATTGTCGTAATTGTAAAATTAAATAAAATTTTACTATTTTGATAATTTTAATCCCGTGTATTTATTTATTTGTTTGCGTTGTCATTCAGTCATTTATTGATTTCATTATACTTTGCTAATAATTAAATATAATTAAATGCGCTAACCAAAAACATACTATTTTGTGTATTTGTAGTTCTCTTTTTTGGGCGGATGTTGTCTAAATATAGGTAAATAAATAAATCAAAATTTAATTAAAGGAAAGGGAGAACAAGATGGTTCGGAGGATTGTGCGATTTCTATTTTTTATTGATTTTTGCTTTTGGGTATTTAACTAACTCGGAAATTCTCATTATCGGAAACCTTCATTACTTCTAGGAAATGAACTGTATTTTTAGGGGAGGATAAAGTTTCTCGGGCCGGTCGCGATTTAATCCTTGTCATTATATCGAACAATTGTCTCAGCCAGTAATTAAAACCGGTTTTTGTTCATTTCTATTAATTGGCAATTTGTTTCAAAGATGTCGTCGAGTCAAAGATTTCCAATTCGAGTAATTTACAATTAATTTAAATGGTTTTTTTTTGTAAAAAAATATACAAGATTTATGGCAAATTAGCTAAATACGACTCTAGTACCCTGATATATATATATATTAAGACTGATGTATGTTTGAAAGGATAAGCATTAATGTTGTCTTGGTCTAAAAAAAAATTACGAGAAGAGAAAATAGCCGCAACATTCGCTTCACCTTTACTAGCGAAAATAGAAATATTGATATAACAATAAAATTTACATAATCCAACGTTGAGTATGACCTGTTTGAATTTAATTGGTTCTTTATCGCTCACTCTGTCATTCCAGTTACTTGATTCAGCCCAGCAAAAATAAAGTTGTGTGTCAACATCTAGATTTTAGATTATACGCATTATACTTGTATCATTATACTTTAAGTATCGAAAATACTTCTTTTAAATTACAAGTATCGAAAATTTCGCGCGTCCTATGAAAGCAATTAGTGATTTTTCTCTATAATGTGATGTGATGTAATTGATGCAATGCACGACTAATTCAATATATCATTATAATCAAAAAAAATTAGCCTTTATTTCGTTTTTTTTTGGGACTCGCTCTAACCTCTTTAGCAGGGATACAATATACCTTGTTGGTCGTTTGGTTATTACAATTCAAAAAAGGTTAAATTCAATGGACGAACAATAACAACGACAATTCCATAGAAAATATAATGAAACTGGAAATGGAAAATAGGGGGAGATTACATTCTGCTTTTAACTTTTTTCTTTCATGAACCCTTTTTTTCATCTGACAGTTTCTCTTTCTCTACCATTTTTAACGTGGTAACTGGCTTTAATGTGGTAACTGCTTTAATGTCGTAACTGCTTCAATAGAAAGAGAGGAAAACAAAAGATTGAGATATGTACATGTATCGGTATGTATATATATTACATAATAATGCATATTTAATCCAAAATCAGAATCGTGATAATGGTAAATTATAATTCTTTTGGATTAAAAAGGAAAGATGAATTAACTACTATTATTATCAAGTGAATGAGCGAAAGAATTGCAGGATAATGAAAAGTTCGTTCTTTATTATTCTACGAAGCAAAGTACTCGGTCCAATTAACAAAAGCTTACCCACCTATCAAACAATCTATCTGCACCTATTTACAGTTTGGAACGATGACTTTTGGTCGAATCAGGCTTTCCGGAGAAAAAACAAGGTTCATTACCACCACAGTTTAATATCACCACAATCGTTCATTTCATTGACTGACATGCAGAAGTTTGGATGGCAAAATACGCAAAAGAAAGAATTTGATTCTTGAAACGACAATGTTAACGTTAATTTTAATATCTACACATATAGAAGTCTCAAGCGCTCACGTGATACAAGATTGAAATCTCAATATGCAGGGACAATAAGATCACCGTCATTTTAATTTGCATTCATCATCACATCTTGCGATCTCATTAGTGGAAAACAAGTTGAAAAGAAAAAACTCATCAGGTGTTCCCTTATTGCATTTTCTGCATTTATTGACGAAATGAACAAACAGGATAGAAATGATTTAATCGAAGGGAAGCAGGAGGAGGAAAAGAACCGATCAAATCATTGCCATAAATATATACATACTTGATTTTACTAAGAAACACACATACTTGTTTTTACTAAGAAACATACATACTTCTTTATATAGCAAAACTATTAATTCAAAAACTCGCCGAAGTGTTAATAAGGAAGCAATTTACCTAAATTATCTATAATTAATCTGTTTGTGGTCATTTGATCACTCCAATTAAATGACAATTTCCTGGTCTAGCCATCCTTTGATTACAGCTCTTTTGCTCGATTATATTTATTTTTGATTGATTGCTATCGAAGGATTAATGAGTGAATGGTACCTGATAACCAAAAATAAATTTTTTTTTGCTTTCTTTTTTATTATCAATTTAACGTTAAATGAATACTCTATATTAGGATATTTCATTAATCCGAACACTAAATAAACATATCGATATTTATAAATATACGCTATTTAATAATGTATCGATATTGAATGGTTCTCGAATCTGCCAATTACAGAAACACAATGGACATTTTGTTTTATTAGGATAAGGCAAAAAATGAAAAGCCAACAGGTTATTTTTTTCTTGTGTTGCGCATACATACACAAGCATTCAAAACTTACCCAAAACATCGGAACGATAGGTCCGAATTCATTCACTCAATACTATTTTGTGATAGTTTATAGATGTATGGTCTCCTGAGAAGGCAATTTTCATTATCTGTTCCATAGAATTATGAAATCCCATCTCAATCATAATAATCTCTTTTCTTAAAAGGATACTAATAAGGTTATCGTTATAGTTATAGTTACTGATGCTGTCAGTCACTGCTGCCAACCATAAATACCCAAAAAGAAGACATTTACACACTTACAGATTTACGCCCACACACATAGATTCACCTATCCGTTCTTTCGTTAGTTTACTTATTCGTCGCTAATGCCTATTCGGAATTTTTATTGCTCACTTTTTATGAATCAATTACCATTTGGCGGTACTTAACGAAAATAAATTAGCGTAATTGCTGTGCTCATCTTTGACGTATTGATTTTAAATCCGGATAAAACTCGTTTCATCCGGAAAAAGAAAATACCAATCATATATTTCTTATTGGAATAATTTAACAGTAATTTAGCGCCGTATGTGTGTTTGTGCTATTTCTATTATCGTTATTTTCTTTGTTCTCCTTTTGTGGTCCTTAATTATATTATATGCACTTGGTCTATCGTTTGCGTTTGTGCTAAATTCTAACTTGTATCTTGCGTTTCCCGTTTGTGCTAAATTCTAACTTGTATCTTACTGTTACGTTTCGATGCAAATATCGTCCACACACAAATTTACGTTTGGTGATTCATATGCAGGCAAGGTTGATTAAAATTAGATATTTTAATGATTATATTATTATTATTACATACCTAACAAACATTTCACCGCATTTTAGGTTTAATCTCTTACATTAAATAACCTTATGTGCTTGCGTAACGTGAAATTAATAATTTCTCTCAATACAGGCGAAAACCATCTTTTATTACCAATGAAAAAACGTTATTTATGTGAAATTCCTAGTTAGAATTCACTCTGTTACATGGTCTCAAGTAAAATTATACATTTTTTTGTAACCCTTTCAACCAATATTGTTTTTGGATATATGTTCTTTGTAATATATTCAAAAATCTCCATTAAACCCATCGGAAAAATCTTTTATTAAAGTGTTTAGGTATTTTTTTTTAAAAAATACATTTGTAAATCAGAAATTATATATTTTTACTGAACTAATGAGTAATAAATTTTAAATTTTAAGGAAGATTTTATCATTTATAATAAAAAAGATTCTGCGATCAAATTATAAAAACCTTCTGTTCCTTTGTCATAACTTTCCATAATTGACTAACTAAATATAATCGAGAAAATATTTGGATCATCAATAAAGTTCGGAGTAATGCAACAAGATGGTCACGTACTAGTGAGTTTAAAAGAATCTATTGCTATAGTTATTGATTTTAAAACACTCGAAATTTAATACATGATAATTTTACTCCCGTTAAACCGACCATTCTTCGATTTAACGGGAGTTGACTATATATTTTTAGATAGATATATATATATATATATACACATAGATAAAATATGTGACCGTTAACCTATATTATATATATTCATTTAAAAATACA